ATTTCCTATGTGATTTTCTCATTTTGTAATACCAATCACAGCGCCTGACACGACCAGATTCCCAGCACGAACCGAATATTTTGGTTGCTATTGTAAACACGACGATAGGCATCACGGTTCATCTGAAGGGGGGGGGGCGTCCAGCCAACACAGCGGGCAGCACCCAAGGGCAGTGATGCAGGCGACCAGCATCTGTAGCCGCGACTAACGGCTTTCTCCCAGTAGTTTTTAAGTATCGACGCCAGAATACGGAAAAGAAAGCAAATAAAAGTGTAAACGGTAGAGGCCAGCAAACGCAGTAAGCATATGCTCGTGGATCGATGGGTGTTGGCCTCATGCGTGGCCGATCACATGCCACTAATAATGCTATAAAAACTGGAAGAAGGCAGCTGCAGCTTCGAATGGTGCATTTGAAGCAAACTTCATTGCTCACAATTGGCAAGCCTGAATTTAACCAGGAAGAAACTTGACGGCAGATCAATTAAGTAGGCAAATCAGCTACTGCCTAAGATGCAAGGGCTTTAAGCTACATCTTTTTTATATGCGAGATGCTGTCTTCGCGATTGTGTGAGCAGCCGGGACTCGCTGCATCCGCACCCCGCATTATGACAGAGGGGGGAAGCTTGCGGGAGAAAGTTAACACCTTTTGCTTTTGGTGTGAAGCATGTCACTAACGATAAGTGTCCCATATTGAGGAAAAACTGTGATACGTACAGGAGTACTGCTTTCAGTGGAAACAAACGAGAAAGACGTCATGTAGAACAAGCAGACGGTCGACCATATTTCTGTTGACTTTAGAAGGACGGACTGTGTATGTCTCAAAAAAACCTATGAGTGGCTGTTCGGTAGGGTACGGATGGATGTACCCTCCTGAACTATTTTGCTGCAACCAGCCTTTTACAATGCATTAAAACAGGCATGCGGCGCAATTATGATCTTTGTTTTTTTTGCACATCTTATAATATGTGTTTTCCCCTAAAGAACCCTATTTTCACCATACAGATGGCCATACCCCGCAGTTTAGAGGGGCTGGGAGACACAAATCCGTGTCCTATCGTCTGTCCAGTTGCTAAAAGCGTGCGCGTCTCCTTAGTCACCTCATGTCTTTAAACACAAGGCATAGAAGAATAATGCAAATGGAAAAGGATTATAAATAATCCGTGCTGGTACATTCAGTAGCAGGGCGATTTTTGCACCCAGTTTTAGCGGCGAATTCCATGGTTATAGGGTTGAAAGCCCCGTGTTCTACATTTCGTGGTATGTACATTGTACAGTAACAATGCCAATATGTTATTTCATTTATATCCAACTGTGAAAAACTCGGTGGCCCTTTGGGATTCGAACCCACGACAGCAAGGGGAGATCTTTGGTACAGCCAACACTACTGCCACCTCAGCTACGAGGCCACACCTACGAATGTTCTTTTTTGTTAAACAACTTAAGATTATGAAGTATTAATCATAGTAAGCCCACGTAGTACATCCACACCTTCCTTGGTAATGAAAACTCCTGACATCATCATCATCATCATCATCATCATCATCATCATCATCATCATCATCATCATCATCATCATCATCATCATCATCATCATCATCATCATCATCGTCGTCGTGGTCGTCGTCATCATCATCATCATCGTCATCATCACCCTTTCCATTTTTCCTTTTAGTTAGTTGCTTATCTTTGTTATTTTTGCTTAATCTATTTCTTCTCAGTTTTCCATACTTCTGTTTTTTCCTATTTTTTTTGCTAGTTTTTCCCGCCAGCCTTCTTGCTCTTTATCTTGTTCTTACTTAGGTGCACAACCGTCGCCATTCGGTGGATCGGCTAACGGTGTGTGTATATTTTCAGCAGAGTACAGGCAGCCTCCCGGCTAACTCGCAACGCAAAATTCTGCTCATGGGCGCTCTTTTTTGTCCTGCTGATTGCTGGGTAGCTGACTGAGTTAAACGAACGTTTTCTCCCCTCATCATATACATGGAGGCGGGTAGTCAACAGTGGCAGTGACGTGGACTGTATTCAATCCTATGCGTCCGCGAACATTAACTCACCTTCAACTTGTGAAGTACAAATGGCTCTCTTGCCCACTAAGCCCGCTGAAAATCCACAAATCCCTTCGCAGGTCGCTTTTTGGCAACTTGTCGGATTATTTTACGTAAAGTCGCGGATATTACTGAAGGTCAGCCTCTTCCATTTAGTACAGTTTATAGTTTCCGCGATGGGTAGCTAAATGAATAAGTATTAAGCCTGTTGCTAGAGCAGAAAAGGTTATCTGACCCAAAATCTTTACTGTTTGTTGTATGCAGTCGGGGCCTTACTTTCTTCGACGTTATTTCAACTTTTCGATTCAACTTAGCCCGAAAAAACATCGTGTCTCTCCTCTTATCCACAGAGGGCGATCCACCGCCCTTTGACTACATTCTTTCAGATGGCTTTAAAGCGAGAAGGTCAATAATATTTCTTGCCACTCATTTTCCAGTTTTCAGATCCCCTTACATTTCTGATAACTGACTGAAGCTTGGATAAGTACCATTCAGTTGCATGACTTGCCACTAGTAAATACGCGAGTAGTACTCATAAGTTCGTTCATATTTAATCAGTTTTGGAGGAAGACTCGTCGACCGAAAGGCATTCTTGGGGAGAAAAACTGATTAAATCTTATCGAACGAACGAGCTGCAAGTGTCGAGCCAGTGGTTTTTAGAATTTTGGGGTGACTGTAATTGTCTGGCAATTGCATGCATTTAGCACTATTGAGAGTATGGGCCGAAACTTTTAAAGCATCGGCCAACATTACTTGGTTCATTTCCAAATGGAAAATATTATTTGGACGAGATTGAAAAACTGATTAGAAAAATTTATAATGAGCATAGTTTCGGTCACCTTTACCCGGTACGCTAAAAAAATTTACCACTTTAGTAATGCACCTTTCTCATTGATTCCAAATGTCTGCAAAAGTTCAACCTTGTTCGTTCCCTTACATCAGCTTATTTAACTTTTGATAGGGTCTTCTGCAGTACTCAAGAATACTATACGAAACAGAAGTGAAGATAATGCATGTTTGATAGGAACTGACATTAATTTCAGGCTAGAAAAAGTAAAAGATCCGGGTTGATAATCTGAGAAAAATGAAGTGCTCCCCAGATCGAGGTACTTAATTGGCTGACGTTTCGAAGAACTGGGGCGGCTCTCCATTATCAAAGCGTCTAGTGAAAAAATTGATCAGAATTTTTGAATGGACAGCCGGATTAGTTGGCCTTGGGCTGATCGATTTTGTTCCTCTTTCGGTGCCTTGGCCTACTGGTCGTCGCCTGTGAGTGTTGGTGGCCTCCTGTATTGTGTGTCGTCAACTCAGTTGGGGTTAGTTGCGTTTGCGTTCCCCTTTTGGGCGAATTGGTCGACAGGCCGTGTTTGCTCGGTAGTCTTAGGCGCCGTATGACTGTCTTGTCTTCGTCACGGCGTATGTATTGACGTAGGACTTTATAGGCCGAAGGAAGGTCTAGATGCCTGTTAATGGAGTTGGCATCTGAGCACCAAGCCTCAATTGTTGACGCTCTGTCCTTAAGGTGCCCCTGCCTAAGACGGCTGCTCCTTGAAAATCAAAACTGTGACAGGTTTTATCGATGTGAGCCGCAAGCTGCGAGTTTGGGTCTAGTCTTCGAGTTGCCAGTTTGTGCTCATGTAGACGGGTCTGCAATTTCCGTTCGGTTTCCCAAACGCAGTTGCAATCTCTATCGTTACACCGTATTTGATAGACAACTGCTGACGTTTCAGTGAGTGACAGTACGTCTTTGGGTTGCATCAAACGGCGACAAATTGTTTCCTGGGGTAGATGGGCTATGCCTAACCTGGCGGGTTGTAACAGCCGTGAAACCGCTTCATAGATTCCTTTAATGTAAGGAATAGCCCTCCAGACTTCGGGTTGTTTTTCTTGTGGACGTCATCTGTTGACTCAGTGCTTGCTTTGCTTGATGAAGTACTTTGGGTATCCATTGGTTCGAAAGACGTTATGAAGGTATTGTCGTTCAACTCTTTTGTCGACTGGTGTGCTGCAATGTGCTTCAACTCTTTGGAAAAGAGTACGGACACGGCTGTTTTGTGAGAGAGGGGGTGATTGCTGTTGAAGTGTAGTACTTGTCTTGTGCCGGTGACTTTTCTGAAAACGGTAGTTTGTAATTGCCCAGTTACACGCCGACGCACAAGGACATCGAGGAAGGGAAGTTGGTTGTTTGTTTCGGCTTCCATCATGAATTGGATATTCGGGTCAACCGAGTTTAATAATTCCTCAACGTATAGTTTACTAAAGGGCAGTGCTTTGCCTTTTTCGAAAATCCTTTCCGAGTTTTTTGGCGTAAAAATGACGGAATTTGTATTATCTTTAGCAGCCCGTTGGTTTTCTTCTATTCTTTGCGGAACAGAATAGAGTGGCGACTCAAGTCTCTCTGTTGCCTGTTCGGAGTAGAACTGCCGCTTGATAACTCTACACTAGAAGTTCAAATTGGCAAGATATCATACGTTCACTTGAATGCCAGTACGTCGCCGTGGGGTACTATGAATTAGGTTGGGCTGGTATACGCACACTCTGGCGCGCGCAGTCGAATTGTTGTCGCAAGCAACAACTTTCTGATTGACCTGGTTGGAGGAGTAAAAGAAATTAAAGGCATACCCTCAATTAGAGACGAGTTCATTTGGATTCCTGCTCCTTTATCCTGCAGTAGGCACTCTTTTAAGCCAGACCATTGGGCACCCACATAAACAAAAAGCACAAGGAAGGCTTCAAGGAACTACAAAGATCTACAAGGAACTAAGCAACTATAATTGCAGTTATGTAGAGTTTTGAGCACACAGGTGCAGTAATCAGGCCCTACACGGACATTCTTGAAAAAAGAGGGATTTCCGGCGGTATATGATCACCCTTCTCTTTTCTGCGTCCTGCTGGGAATGTCTGAAAATCCGTTTTCGGGAGATTTTGATGTGATGTGGAAGTTCAGCACGAAAGATTTATTGCTAAGCCGTTAGGAAGATGCTTTGACATTGTCTACAAGAAATCTGTTGCGACTTGGTAACGCTAAAACGGTGTCTTTAAAATAAACTTTAACTTTTGGCGTTCGTAATTGACTTATCGTTTGAGTTTATAACCCGCCCTCTCGTGCACTAAGGATGCACGCCAGCCTAAAGACTCTCACCCCATAGATAATCCGTAAGCTTAGGCGGCAAACAGCCAAAGAAAGTAGTCTGCGGTTCTTCTACTGATGTACGCTCCCAGGGAGCGAAGGTTTGCATCTCGATATAGATCCGGAGTCGTTATTAAACTCGACCAATTCAGGCTACGCTAGTTCAGTGTCTTGGTCATATCCGTAGATAGAGGAAGAACAATGGGCTTCCAATTGTTATGGAATAACAGTAGTGCTAAATAGAGGCCTCTGAAGAATCTGCTTCCATACTCGTTGAAATACTTCCCCCGAAGTTTTGTGTAGGTGATCAAAAACGACGATCCACTTATGATTCAAGACAACTTTTTCGAGTGGTCAGCCTTCGAAAGCTCTGCGTACCAAGTGGCTGACGATAAACGCAGGCCAACTTCTTGCCCAAGGAGGACTGCGGTTGGCTAGCGGCAGATCAGCGTCGCCATGGCTTCTTCAGTGTAGTATAGAGAATCACAGAGAAAATCCTTTTGGACGTATTAGTTCTTCTTCGGCCAATAAATAGTTTTAGTCCAGTCAAAATGGCTTGGCGGGGTCTCGTTCTGCAGTACTATTTGCTTGATATCATAGGGTTAGTTTCCTAAAACAATTTTAGCAGGCGCAATTACGTTAAATTTACAAATATCACGCGTTTGCACCTTCCATACCGTTTTAATGCAGCGAGTAACTGCGCCGAGGGGGGGGGAGGAGGGCTTAAATGACATCCTCGTTTATATCAGACACCAGTTCCCTGCGCGTGCTTCGAGTCCTGCTTGTGCCCTCTTTATTATCCTAATCCAGCAAGTGTTTAAGTAGGCTTGCTAATGGAACTTTTCGGACGGATTGGAACTCTGTTAGTTCCACTTCAGTGGGCATGCACTGCTAATTACCACGCGGTTCCCTCCTTATCTAAACAATCCAGCGTGTAGCTATGTAGCGGGGAGAGTGTGTACACGCCACCTTCACCCGCATCCCTGCGCGTGCCTTGTGCTCTGCTTGCCTTTTTCCCTTCCTAATCCAGCGAGTGGACCGCTGAAGACCTCAGCATACTCGAAAAAGTTCAACGGCGAGCAACGAAACTTGTACCTGGACAGTGGTCACTACCATACGAAACACGATTAGCTAGTCTTGATCTCTTTTCTTTGAGTTACAGACAGATACAAGGGGATCTGATACCAGCTTTCAGCATCGCTGCCTCGCATTAGGAGACTTCTTCGAGTTGGCGAATACGACTAATCCGAGAGGCCATCCACTCAAACCACGTGTGACTGCTGCCCGGCTAGACGCACGAAAGTTCTTCCTCTCCAACAGAGTGGTTGCAGCTTGGAATGTTTTGCCTGAGGACGTTGTTATGTCTGGATCCGTAGACACTTTTAAAAGGAGGCTAAATCAACATCGGAGTGCGCACCACAATGCCGCCTGACTGCAGCCGCCTTGATAGCCAACGTTGACAATTTAGTGATATGATGATGCTACTATCAACATTTAAGTAACACGTGTTTATGTAGTTTATTAATGTTTAAACCACGTCGCACGACGCTGCTCGCACTCACCAAGATGCCTGTACCACTTTCCATGTATCTTAGGTGTGCTTCAACTGTCTGCTGTATCTACTCGATAAACCGAGTTTATATGCCTTTAAATAATCTTAACTCATGAAATACTGTGTTAATCTGTACAGTTTTTGATATTCCCCTTGCATTTCTTTCATGTTACCTCCTTTCCACTTTCTGCATGTACTTCCTCTGCGTGTAGCCAATAGGGATTTCAAAGGTATACACCTACTTTCTCTCAAATACACTGAACTGAACCGAACAAAAATTGTTTTAGGAAACCAAACTTATGGTGTCGATCAAGTGGAGCTGCAAAAGCAAACCTCCTCAGCGGCTTATTTAGTGAATGATTCTGACCCATGAACCTTCTGGGGGAATGCTGAGAAAGGTGAACACGACGAGGAAGGCCTTTTTTGACTTTGTGAGTTCCTTCGACACAGTAAGTTATTTGATCCTAGCGAACAGACTTCATGACTGCCATTCAGTTGGAAACGCGGTTGCTTGAAAAAAGCGCTTCACTTTGGATGGGACCTTCTGTCTGTTTATGAGGCTTGCCACATACGGGTTGCGCGACGCGACTTCAAAAAATACCCCACGTTTTGTTGATGATATAGAAATTTAATACGAAAATGTTGATTGAATGAATGGGGTCCCTAGTTCTGTTATCATGGGTTGGTTGGGCTCGGCCCGGCTTATGATTGCCTGTTCCTGACCTCCGGCGCAAATCTGGAGCTCGTTCTCTTCGAGAAACCAATGGACCAATGTGTATTAATTCCTACTTGGATACATGCCAACAGCATGTCAAGTAAGCGCCTCACCTTCGTTGTTCTAGTGAGGGTCTTGCTCGTTCCCAATTTTTTCGCCCTCAAGCTTTCTATAGGCGACAACGAACGTTCTGTCGTAGGATACATACCACGTATAATACGTAAACAGCTCATTAGGCACGCAACAGGTCGGAAATAGGCAGGTGTTTCATGGCCGTTGCCGATCATCATCGCGCCTCAGGTTTTATGAAGGGAGGTATATAAACATGTCCAGTAAGTGCGTCACCCTCACTGTTGTGGTAAAGATCTTGCTTGATCCCATTCTGTCCTTCCGCTGGCTTGCTACTTGCGACAGTAAACGTTGTGTCATATATAGTTTTTTGAAGGCAAATACGTTCTTTGGGAAAAGGAAAAAAACTTTACTGAGTAAATTTTCGGCATCCGTTCCCCGTGTCGTCGTCAGACTCGGGCAATGTGCAAAAAACACTTAACTTTTTAAACGTGTCGAGAAATCAATATTCGTTTGGTGCTTCGGCCAGTGAGCGGCCGTTCCAAGGAACGTATTTGCCTTCAAATTATATTTCTTGGGATGTGTGCGTTCCAACTCATACATATATGAATGGTTGAGGTAGAGTGCATTCCGAGATAATATGATGAAGATAGAAGGCTCGTCGAAAAAATCGAGTTGTACTCGTGAATTATCGAGGTGGTGACACCAACCCGTCGTCAAAAGACCGGGTTGGTGTTACTAATTCAAACACGAACAGGCAACCACCTACCAGGCCGAAGTCGGCCAAGCTATGATAGCAGAGGGGAGACGACAGAGTCTGGGGTGTGGATTGATACAGCACTGTTTCGGGCTTGTTTGCCTTCATTCAGCCAATCATAACCCTGACCACCAGCTGGTATCGGAAACACAAACATGCGCACAGGCGCACCTGTTCCACCACTGGGGTCTACCATTTCTTCGCTTCTATTGACAACTGCCCATGGAATACACACACATTCCACACATGTGTGAGTCCCAGACGTCATTTTGAGGAGAAGGTGGTGAAGCTTGACTCACAGTTCACCAGTCCGTCATTCCACTCGAACACACACACAACTCGGTAGACTGCGTGGACTGAATTGGGGATTCAGTCTGCAGCCTTCCGAACCACGACGCCTGGCGCAGCGTGATATTCTTAGACTCGGACCATACAAGCAGAAGAGGAGCCGCAAGAAGAAGGAGCCGAGAAGCACATTTCCCACTTGTATGGGATGCGGCAGTCGAGTGCTTGCAGTGGTGATGTTGTGTGAAGCAGGTGCTGGACAGGCGATTTGGTGTAACTGGTGGTTGCCTACCGCAGGTTTTCGCGAATGCGCTTGTGACCCAATGAACCAATGAGATTAGTGAATGTACGGACGCATTAAGGACAGTTGGGATGGATGCTGCGAGTGTAGGATGGTGCTCCAGACATCGGCTTGCTGGTCTTTGTGAGATGGATTCGCAAGTGACCAACCAGGCCGATGGGTAAGGTGAATGCACATGAACAGTGTAGGCAATGTCAAAGCCGGTTTAGATGATGGTGGCGGTAATGAAGCTGCTGGTGGTGGGCGCAAGGTATGGTTGGTGCACAAGATGTGCTAGGTGTGTCTGGACCGCGGCACATTTCGCTGTCGTGAATATGCGTGCGGCCTAATGGGTCCATGCGGTGAGTACATGAGCAAGGGCAGCGTGGACTGTGGAGGCGGATGCGGCGAGTGTAGGTTAGAGCTCCAGGTACTGGTTCGCCAGCACCTCTGCAATGGATTCGCAAGTGACCGACTAGGCCAGTGTGTGAGGTGAATGTGCGATCGCAATGAAGACAGGTATGAAAAGAGTCTAAATCGATTGTGTTGGCAGTGGTGAGATTGATGTTCGTCGGTGCGTCAGGGTTGTGTGCAGTGGTATTGGGGTAGCGGCCACCACAGAAGTTGTTCACGGGACGAAGAACGGCAATGGAAGATCAATGGAGTGGATACGGTGGATTGTCGACGTGGGGAGAGAGGACGATGTGGCCCGGATGCTACCGTTGGTTCGTAAATGTCCGATTAGTGTCCCGAACGTCCGCTGACACCGTGGGCAGGTTGTAGGCTGTTGATTATTGGCCCTGAAAGGTGCAGGCAATTGAGATTTGCGAGCTTCGCGCTTGGCTTTGGCGTCTAGGGAGGGAGGTTGACTCTGAAGATCGCTGTTTCAGTCCTCACTGTCCTCCTCCAGGCCGGTCGTTCACGGGCGGTGTCCTCCCAGTTGGTCGAGTTGATCTGCAGACGGCTCAGAGGAGCGTTAAGGGCGTCCCTGTAGTGCTGGAATTGGTCTCCTTGGTGACGAGAACCTGCGGCGACATCTCTATAGAAGGGTCGCATGAGAAACAGCTCGTCACCCGTCTGCGCGAGGTGGTCGCTCCAGCCCAGTTGCAAATATTTCAGTATGGCGTGGATGCTGAGGATTATTGTCCGTTGCAGTACGTCCGTGTCCGTGATCGGGTTTGAGCTTCTGCGCCTACTTCTAGTACATCGCCCAAGCCTCCGCTTCGTACAGCAGCATCGACAGGATGACCGCTTTGCACATCTTCAGTTTGGTACTGAGATGGAGACAGTGACGATTCTACACAGTGTTCTGCTGGCGACTGACTGGCTTTGGCTGGCTTTGGAGATCCGATGGGTCACCTCGTCTGAGTTGGCCTTGAGAATTCGGCGTGTCACTTCATCGTCGATCTTGGTGCTGCAAGAGAGGGTTCTGCCAAGAGAGGTGGTTTTCACGGCTTGCAAATGGGCGCCGTGCACGTTGATTTGAGGTGTATCGAAGGCAGCGTGAGGTGGCGGTTGGTGCATAACCACCGTTTTCTCCGTGTTGATGGTCAGGCCGAAGTTGTTGCCGGTGGCGGCGGAGAGGTCCCCAGTCTTTTGCATGTCGCTTTCAAAGGTGGCGTTGAGAGCGCATTCTTTAGTGAACAGGAGTTCATGGATGGAAGCTGTGGATACACGCGACTGGAAGTGTATCCACCGGCGGTTGAGGATTTGACCGTCTGTCCTGTGGGCCACGCGGATCCCGGGGCGTTCATCACGATAGGCGTCCATCAACATGGCAGAGTACATGAGACTGAAGAGGGTAGGCGTGAGGACGCAGCCCTGCTTCACTCCATTGGTCACTGCGAATGATTCTGAGACCGCTCCATTGTCCGTCACGCACGCTGTCATGCCATCATGGAGCGGACGCAAAATCTGAGTGAACCGCTCGGGACAGCCGAATTTCTGCATGATTTCCCACAGTCCTGCTCGATTTCCCGTGTCAAAGGCTTCCGTCAGATGGTGTCACAGTGACGGTGGAGGTCCCTGTTCTAGATGGCCCTTGAAGCGTTTGATGAGTAGGCGAGCGAAGACCTTTCCGGCGATGTTGAGCGACGAGATTCCTCTGCAGTTGACGCAGAGTTGGCGGTTCCCCTTCCGCGTGTAGAGGTGGATGATTGTGGCATCCTTGAAATCCTGGAGAAACTGGCCTTGGCGCCACATCGCCTGGAAGAGCAACACCAGATGATTTTTGAGTTGGGGACCACCGTGCTTGTCGATTTCAGCTGGGATCGCGTCCGATCCGGGCGCTTTCCTGCTGAAGAGTTGCTGCATGTCCCTGAAGGTTTCGTGTAGAGAGCGCGGGAGGTCGAGGTCGGCGTTGGTCTGCACTTGAGGCAGAAGGGCGATGGCGGTGTCGGAGATGGTGGAGGAGCGGTTGGGGACATTTCTGAAGTGCTCGGCCCATCGCTTCAGAGTTTTCGTTTTCTCAGTGAGTAGGATGGTTCCGTCGGCGGTGAGAAGAGGAGCAGTCCCTTTGGCTGTGGGACCGCAGACAGCCTTGATCACAGCGAAGGGGTCCTTCCGTTCATTGCGGTTCGCATACCCTTGGATCTTCTCGGCCTTTCGAGCCGTCAAGGCGTCTTGCATCTCCTGCAGTTGCTGTTACACAAGGCGGCAACTACTTCAGAAAGCTGCTTTCTTGTCATCCGTAGGGCGGATGACGTGGCCTTTTTACAGACTGTCCTTCTCTGTGAGCAGGTTGCTGATGGCGGCGTCGTTTTCGTCGAACGAGTGCTGGTGTTGACGACGTGCGCGACCGATGACGGCCAGGGCGGTCGACTGCACCGTGTCCCGCAGTTGAAATCATCGGTTTTCCACGGAGTCGTTCTTGGGGGTGGCCGCGGCGACGACTGGAAGGTTGGCTAGCCTTTGGGCTAGTTCACTGCTGAAATGGAGATAGTGAGCATGCAGCAACAACAACAAAGCAATATTCAACTTGCCTAGGAGTCGCTTACCTTGAGGTCTTCTGCGCACTGAATAGGTCAACGATGAATCATCACAGACACATGCTAGCATGAATAAATCTGTCCCTAATAATATGCAAGATCGCCGTCTAAACTAACCCAGTATTTATCGCGACAACCCTGTGCTGATGGTGCAGGCGATGAAGACCGGACACGACTCACCCCACCCGTCTTTCCCGGATGACCTGAGAAAACCGAACAATGTAGTTGCAGCAAGTGCGGACTTTTTGTCCAGGGTACAACATTTTGACCGTCGTTACCGACGATGTCTACCATGTGCTCCTTAGGAGCGTAGGGGCAGGGACGGTGACGTAAATTCGTTCGTAGTTAGGGGAGACTTGCGCAGTATCTACCGAACTCTCTGATTCTCCCTCACCTGGGCCAAGTGTCATGACAGAGTCAAGAAAATCGGAGGTGAGAGAGGTCGCAGGTGGCTGACACAAGGAATTTTGGTAGCAGATTAAGGGTGAACTTAAAAAATCATACGAAGAAGGAGGTGCGCAGCGTATAAACGTTTCCAGCTTCGGTACTATGCAATAATGTACTCTCACGTGCATAGCTAAGAAACGACAATATATTGGAAATCTGGTCGTAAAAACAATTAGCGTTGGAAAACTACATCGGCAAACGTTGAGTTAGATGCTGAAAACTCTCACCGCTGAAAGGCAGCTAATACTGATCAGCAAGGCTTGGATTCAAACGCCGTCACTGTTATCTAAATCTAAGTTAATAATGACCATTATGGTGATTGCTCGAAAAATCGCTGACCCATCCCAGCTCTTCCACTAAACTGCACCAATCAACAGATCTCGGCGAAGGGTTTTTAAAATAACAACGATAATCATATGTAGATGATCTTTCTATCCCCCCCCCCTGAGCTGAAGCTGACGACAAGGTGTAATCGGGAACAGTAGAGCTTTTAGCAAAGTACCCCTTCAGTCGTGCCCGGTCACCGGTCATTGAACTGGTTCCCGTGTAAAGGCGTTTTTTTCTCATAGTCGGATAGGTCGATAGCCTCTCTACATCTACTAGAGGATTCGCAGAGGCCATTAGATCACATAATGAACTGAGTTAACCCTAAGGAGCATAGCTTTCGAGAGCCCCAATCTGGATCTCGGAAGTTGATCGGACAGAAATAATCGCATCGTTTTGATAAAGGGAGTGCACTGGCAGATTTCAGGCACCAGACTCAAGAAACTTTCTAGATTTCAATAGCTTACACCCGGAAAAGGTTTGCGTATTATTCACACGAAGCACTGAATCTGATCATGGAGGAAATCGCCGACAAAATGCTTAACCATGATAAAGCTTGGAAAGATGAATTCAGATTGGCAAAGTTAATAGATCCGCGTTAATGATCTGAAAATGGGCTCAGCGGAACTGGTTTATTTAGATGCTGGCGTTTCGAAGAGCTTGGTCGGCTCGCAATTGTCAAAGCGTAAAAATGCACTTAATCGACCAGAAATCCCAAGTGGCATGTCACGTTGGTCGGCCTCATGCTAATCGATTTTCCTCTCCTCTCGCTGCCTCGGCCGCCCGCTGAATGGTTGACGGGTCTTTTTTCTGCGTGCTTTCTCCACTCCGTCGGGGGGAGGTGATTAAACCTTTGTCGGGTGGTCGGTATGGCAGTTCTTTTCCTCCCTCACCGGGTAAACTCGCCGTCGGGCTGTCTCTGTATGGCCTTCTTAAGTCCGGTGTGGTTGTTTGGGTCTGAGCTCTACGATTGTGATGACGTGGGAATTTGTAAGCTGCAGCAAGTTCCAGATGCCTGTTGATGGAGTGGGCGTCGGAGAACCACGCCTCGAGAGTTAGCCGTTCTGCTTTTGTATTGCCCCGGCCAAAGATGGTAGCTCTCTGGAGATGCAAAGTATGCCCAGTTTCTTCAACGTGCATTGCTGGTTGAGGGTTTGGTCTAACCCCCGAGTGGCCGATTTGTGTTCTTCTAGGCGGATCTGCAATTTCTGTCCGGTTTCTCCCGCATAGTTGCAGTCGCCCTCATGGCAATTAATTTTGTAGATGACTGCTGAGGTTTCATCGGGTGGGAATGGATCCTTAGGTTTCATCAGACGGTGTCGAATTGTTGCCTGGAGTCGATGGGCTATACCTGCTCTGGCGGGTTGTAACAGTCGAGAGACCGGTAACAATCGAGAAATGGCACCCAAAAAAATCCGTTACCTAGAAATAATACCTTTAACGGTGGACTCAAACGCCTTCAGGCTATATCAACGGTTGCAGGCCTACTTTCACGCACTACTTGGACTTTCCTCGACGGCCTAACGTGGGCTGACCGAACGAACATTGCAGGAGGTTACATGGACGATGGTCGCTGTTACCCAACCTTCCCCATCGTTACACACTTACACCTGAATATACGGCATACATTCGCATTATGGCAGTTTATTACAAAACAAAATCACTTTTAAATAGGATACGTCGCTGAGACGAGAGACCGTCTCAGAGACCCCTTAAACGTAGGGAATGGCTCTCCAGACTTCTGGTTGCTGCTCATTTGGCCGTCGTCTGTGCGCCTGACGTCTGCTTCTCTCGATAAAATGTCTGGGATAACCATTGACCGCAAATAGGTTCTGAAGTTACAATCGTTCGGCTTTTTTATCTTCTGGCGTGCTGCAGTGTAATTTGGCTCTTAGGAATAGTCTGGACACAGCCACGTTTGTGAGACAGAGGATGGTGGCCGTTGAAGTGTAGGATCTGTCTCGTGTCGGTGGATTTTCGGAATACTATGGTTTGCAGTTGTCCTGTTGTACCCCGGCGCATAAGCATATCAAGGAAGGGCAGTTGGCTCTTTGTTTCTGCTTCCATCGAAAATTGGATATCCGGGTCAACCGAGTTCACTAGTTCCTTCAGGTGTTCAATGTCAGTTGTTTTGACAACGACGAAGGTGTCATCGACATAGCGAGCCCAGAACTTTGGTTGATATTTGGTGAACAAGTGTTCTATCCGCTGGAGGACTACTTCAGCAATTAGGCCTGACAGAGAGGAGCCCATAGGAGTGCCTTTTATTTGTTCGTTCATTAGTCCACCAAAGATGAGATAGATCTGGAGGCAGTGTCACAGAAGTTCGGACTTCAGGCGCTTGTCCCTCTCCTCATAGCGCTCTGCCAGTATTTGGCCCACTGCGTCTATCGCTAGCCGCTGTGGATTGAAGGTGAAGAGCGAAACGACATCAAAGGATATCATGGATCGTCTGGCTCTAGCTTTAGATGTTTTATGCGCTTGAGGAGTTGATTCGCAGATTCTACTATTATTGGTGAGGCTTCGGCCAAAAACTCAAGATGACAGAACATCCATTTTGCCAAACCGTATGTCAGAGTGCCACGACAAGATACGATTGGCCCGAGTGGGACATTTGCCCTGTGTACCTTTGGTAGACCGTTAAAAAGAGCCGGGCGGTGTCAGTGGGTTTCATGGAGAACCAGTCGTTGGGCGTAATCGTCTCCCCGGCCCTGAGATTTCTCAGGTTTTTGTTTATCCGGGTGATCGGATTTTTCATTTCGCTGACACGGCATTGATTGTAGGAATGCTGGTCTTCGAGTAGGTCTTGTACTTTGCCTAGGTAATCCGATTTGTCCAACACGATTGTTGAACGTCCCTTGTAAGCTGGCGGAATAACTACGTCCTTGTTTGCCTTTAGGCTTTTCAGTGCTCGCTGTTTCACATTGCTAAGTTTCGTACCTCTTGTGTCACATAAGTAACGAGGAGGCTTGGTGACGGATCAAATCATTCGTCTCGTCTGATGCCATTGTTAATTGAAGAACGGATTCGAAGGCGGGTGCGGCATCTGCTGTGGCAACAGCGGCTTCACGTTCAAGGACTGCGAGTTGTGTGTTCGTGAGGGGTCTGGAGGAAAGGTTGTGGACAAGGACGCCTGACGAGTTGTCTGATTTGGGTACTTGAAGTTTTTCCAATTATTAATTATCATTCGGCGTAATCACAAGGCATTTCAGTTACGTCAGGATGTCGGCTTTTGAAAGAGCCTCTTACTGACCACCAGAATAAAGCGCTTTAGTAGTTTGCTCTTTGCCACTGATTTTTATACCCTTATCAATTCAAATATATTTTACATAGAAAAACATTCTTTCATGTACTCGCTTAGTAGACGATAGCGTTTGCTTCAAATCTAGTACTCAAGGGAGGACATTCTTAACTTTTAAAAAAGACTAACAATCACCGGCTAACTTTTAATCTGACCGGCAGTAGCACTTGCGCGTGAGGTTCCCATACTACATGCAGTATGCTTCACGCGTGAAGAAATTTATACATTTTTCTACGCCATCATGAATACGTCATATAAGATTCATATAATTTTACGATGGATCATAAGCATCATAAATAACTGTACGGATAAGATGTTCCACGGATGGCCATTTCGCGGTCTTAAAAATATCATAATTGCAAACCCCTTAAAACCGACGGATACACCTGTTTGTGTATACAACGAGACGGAGATGTATTTTTCTTAAAAAAATGGATGAAAAAGAATATTTTTTATGCACATTTTCTCTAAAATGCACCTGAATTAGTAAGGACAGCAAATTTCGAAGGGACAAATCAATGCAAGTTAGGTATTCATTTTGTACTGGATGATAATTCTGCAGGCAAACGAGCAGACGTGCATTCACAAGCCAGCATCCTTGCCTGACTGAAATATCATAGGATGACGCTGCACGGTGATCAATAATACAACCCGATACAAGTAATCCTTTCTAATTGGAAGCACACTTCAGAATATCGAGTAACATTTCCCGAGATAGGCCAACTACTGTAGCTCTATGCCAGCAGTCAGGCAGCTCGTGGGATCTCGACACAAAAGACTATGAGGGGAAGGCTAAATGAAAAGAGATATGAAGACGGTTTTCTAACTTGCAAATAGAAATGCAAGACAGAGGTTCGATTGAGACCTTAGTGGTGGTGCTGTTCAGCCCCCTGTGGATATCCAGACCGAGCGCGCTGGGCTGCCCTGTGATTGGTCCCAACCACTGGATGGCACAAGTTGGGAGAGGGTTCGCGTTAAGGCTCAGAACATTATTAGAAGCACCGTAAGACAAAACTACTCCAGAATTTTGCTCGAATTTCCGCAGACTACAGTTCATGGAAAAAAATAAGCAGGATAAGAGCAGATAAGATGTGTAAACGAGTAAAAAGCGCGAAGAGATTACCAAAAATTCTAGTAAGTAGTCCCTCGTAGTAACCCGTAAATTAGCCCTTTTACTGTCCCTCAGAAGACAGCGTCATCGAGAGCGCAGGCAGAAAAATCAAGAATTCGTAAAATAAAGAGCACAGAGCGGAGGTATAAAAGATGTTTGGGTAAAATTGCGGAGGAGGAAGTAAATAATGCAGTCTGGGGTATCACGACATGGGTTCCTTTTGCAGAAGAGCCAGCTCCTTGGCGTAGCACTTCCTTATTGCATGTCGCGAGGCCTTAAGTGTCGGAGTAAGAAGGCCATTTTCAATGGTAAACGCCCGAGGAGTCAGGTGAATATTCTTCACCTGAAAAAGACACAGAGGGTAAGACAAAAGTAAAGTAAAAATGCTTGCTATCAACGCAGTGCTTCCCTAATACACCAAGCCCGTCTTAATAAACACGTATGGGGGCAAAAATTAAGAGCTATTTCGAGAACGAAACGCGCTCATGTTTGGAATCATTGGTGCATGCCAATGAGCTTGCATTTTTTCAGTCTTAAATCGCGAAAAGAGTATTATATGTGAAAAGTAGATATTGTTTTAGCTATTCGTTTCTGGACTGGTCACTTGGATTTTCAAAGCCTACTTGTTTCCCCAGTTTGTCCCGATTAGCGAGAAGCAAACTAAGAATTGGGCTACTTTACTTACAAGCATAGAGGAAAGCCAAAAACGAGCGACAAGTCCAGTAATGCAGTCCGAAAAAGTCGTGATGGGAAGACTAGAGGTGGATGTGGCAGTTTGCATTAACATCCATAACCATGCTACTGCGTTCAGCAAAAATAAGTTCCTTTTGGTGCTCCAAAAACAACTTAATTTACAATTTATGGCATGAACGGGCTGCATGCGAAGTTCCACATGGGAAAAGTAGGTTAAAGGGAATTCCAGAAGGGTTCTAATGTCAGTTAAATGCACTTTTCCGCGTTATGTATTGTGAAATTTTCTTCCCGAAGGTTTGCTTCGAACTTTTTTGACTTTCTTTTCAATTATACTTCGAGATTCTCTTCTATTTCCTTTTAATTTTTTGATCAAAATCAAGGTTAGTTTTCGGTGGTTGTGGCCGGTCAGCTGACGCTGCTTAGTTTCTGGCAACCGTTTTTCATCTTTTGCGACATGACTTTAACTTTTAGGATGAAGGGTAACAATTGGGAGATGGCACCGAAAAAATCCGTTACCGATGAGAATATGCCGGAGGACTGCATGAGTGTTCGTCCACAGGCTAATGAAAGGAATAAAATGAGGTCCGGAAAACTTTAAAAGCATACAATCCTATACAGATGGTGTCGTCAGCTAAGCAATTTCACAAAATGGCAACTCTCGTCGGAGTCAAGTGCGGCGATGTTTTCAATCACGTCCTGTGTGTTTATTGAACGTGCAGTTTTGAAAGCGAGGATATGAAGGCATAGTGTCATGAACAGCACAACGTAGGACGTTTCCTTTAGCAAACTGCATTTCGCTTTCAATCCCCTATTTAAAAAAGCAATTAAGCAGGGATTACGAGCTGGATCGACTTCATATTATCTGCCTCTTCAAGTAAATCCGACACCGCGCACATTTTTGTTGCCATATAGTGATGAGGTTAAACTTTATCGTTCGAGAAGCCATTTCTGAAAAAACTTCTTAGTATTATTTATATTTATCCACGCAATCGAAGGCCCCACCCGTAAGACAGGCTGCTTTGGTTGGGCGGATTTTTTGGGTGCCATCTCCCAATTGTTACCGGATGGAGTACTGATCTGGGTTTTGCAGACGTCTGCGAATATCAAGAACGAGGGACAAGGAAAAAGAGCACATTTGGGCGGCCTGGTCTGCGACCTGAGATAGGAGCATTAAACAACGTGGAAGAATTTAATTGAGTGTTGAAAACACACTCGAAGACTAACGGGAAAAGGAAAACGTGAGCAGATGAAGAGGTAGTCTTAATTTTTTTGAACTGTTTGTAGGCGCGGTGTCACAAATTTAAGTGACCGCGACACTTCAGTCTATTAATGATCTATAATTCAAGGTAATTAATATGTTTATTGGTTTTTGACGAAAGTAATTATTTTAAGAAAACGGAATAATGCTGCCAGGGGTCAATGCACGGCGCAGCTTTTGAGGTGTGAACTAAAAGTCAGATAAATTTAGCCCCGGCTGGAGTAGATCCGATACTGCACGCAACTTGCAAAATCACTTGTCCAGTAAAATCGGTTTCGATTAACATGGCTATGAGACTGTTTGGCTCCGTAAGGCACTGGAATATGGACTCCCCTGCTACGGGTGCCCTTGAGCTACATTACAGGTTAGGATTGGAGGTAGAAGGGTCAGGATTATGAGGATTAATTTTAGGGTTAGCGCGGGGGTGAGGACCAAGGTTCAGGTTAGGGAGCGGGGATGGGTACTCCCTGGCATTTAACGCAGAAACACCTGTAGTACGGGGACTCTTATTCGCGTGTCCACAATCCGGCTCAACAAATGAACATTATAGGGATTATAAAAAACCCAAAACGAAGTTAGAATTTGACAAACCGACCTCGCAAACCTACCACACAAGTGGAAACGCTATCTGAACACCACGTCTGATTGTCAAAATACTAACTGGACACAGCCCAGTGAATTTTGAAGATTTCATTAGCCGCCTTCCTTCCTACGATAGAAATTTCTGTTTCCAATATCCTGGAGGCGTTCTGCGCCAATAAGCAAGCAGTCTGTTTACTTAAATGCCAGTTTTATTTTCATTGAATTCGGCAGACTAAGCGCCTAAATTACAACTTTAGAGCACGCCTTTGGTTATCAAAAAATAAAGTCACGTTTACTTATCTAGTTTCTGATATTCTGTTGGCCTACCGGACCTTAAAGTAATTGAAATAAATGCAATAAAAAGTAGGCAAACGTTATACATACGCACCTTTTCAAATCCCTTTAGTTTGGCTCTTTCACCGAGCTTCACGCAATCTTTGTAGACGAGTTCCTTCACGAGTGGGCTTTCACAAAGGGCTTTTAGGGTACAGTCCTTGAGGGGTCTGGCGTTCATGTCCTCGCCATGTTCGCTCAATGAATGAAGAACACCCTGTTTATCGGGCACAATAATCGCCACCGGAAACGAACTCAGTGAGCTTCCATCGACAAAAACGTGGCTAATTAACAGAGATTCCCGATAAACCAACTCCACTTTCTCTGGAGCAACGTACTCTCCTTGAGACAGCTTGAAGATGTGCTTACATCGGTCCACAATTTTGAGACAGCCATGCTGTAACAAAGAGTCGGAAAACAACAAGATGAGCCCTGCCAGAGCAGCGATCAGAGATAGTTTTCTGTTTAGTTGTGCGCCTACCTAGGTTCTCCCGACCGCCTGCATAACTACACTTCGTAATAAGTGGATACTTAAGAAGTAGGACTTCTTTACATCGATTTTTGATTCCGTTATAAGTTCGCACACATTTTTAGAAAGCATTCACAAAAGATTCTTCCTTATACTCATTTAGTGGCAAATTTAGTTTTCCTTAAACGTTATACTTGGAGGAGGAGTATAATCCGGTTTTTAAAACCTCTTTCAATTCTCGACTAATTCTGAACTCGACCTGCCGATACACTTGCATTCTGGGTTTCCAAGCTACAAGCTGTAAATTTTCCGTGTACGGAAAGTCATACATTCCTACACGCCGTAATGAAGATGTCCCACAGTGCTCTTAAAATTTGGTAATAAATATGGACCATGTTGTCATTTTATCGGCAACATTAATAAGCTCGCTGATTCGGTGCTGTATGATTGGACATTTAGTGATTTCAATAAAATCTCATAGAACCTTTTTGAAACTTAAAGATACTCTATCATTTATTATAAAATTAGACATGGCACTTGATGACTTTCTGGTTCAACATGTACGAACTGTGACTTGGATGCGTGAAGGTCAGAGAGTTGCCTAGACCTACTGTTTACCAAGAACGAGGAAAACGTTGATAAAATAAATGTAGGCCCGCCCCTAGGTTCTTGTGATCACATGACATAAATGTGGGAGTCGACACTCGTAGCTGTCCCCGAACGAAGCTCAAAGTTGTTAAGAAATGTCTGGCGGGGTAACTTTGAGGCAATGAAATCAGATAATGGACACACACTATGGACGGAAGCATTACGAGGAGACATCAAAGAATGCTGGACAACCGTCGAATCAACTATGAGAGACTTGATTAAACGAGACTGTCCCCTCAAGAAATATCCAACCGGAAATAAACCGAAATGGCTGACAACATCGGTTAAGAAGGCAATCTGAAAAAAACGCAAGTTGTGGAAAATCTTCTTGAAGACGGGGAGTCCAGAAAAACTTCAGGAATTTAGACAACAACGAACCTTATGCAAAGGACTCATCCGAGAAGTACGAGCTTCCTATGAACTGAAGCTCCTGGAAAAGGCGCAGAAAAATCTTAAAGCATTCTATGCATATATCAGGAGCAATACGAAAAATCGGGACCATCTCTCAACCTTAAAGCGCAAAAATAACCAAATTGTGAGCGACGGCCTTCAAAAAGCCGAGCTTCTTTCAGAGTTTTTCCACAGTGTCTATACTACAGAACCACCCCTCCAGTCCTGTCCTCTTCCACAGCTCGACAACCAACCCCTTATAAGCCCAGTATCTTTTATACCGCAGTTATTTTTAGCAGAGTTAAATAAGCTGGATCCGGCCAAGTCACCTGGACCAGATGAGATCCCAGGTGTACTTCTACGTCAGCTAGCGGAAGAATTAGCCGAACCACTATGTATAATCTTCTAAAAATCGCTGGAAGCTGGCAAACTAAGTGACACATGGAAGTTGGCAAACGTCGTACCTATCCACAAAGGAGGATCACGTCTTTATCCCACTAACTACCGGCCGGTGAGTCTGACATGCATTTTCTGCAAACTGATGGAAAAGATAGTTAAAAAATCAATCGCATCACTCGATACATTGCGCTGTCACATCAGTTCAGTTCAACATGGCTTCTGCGAAAAGAGGTCCTGCCTCACAAACCTGCTTACGTCACTCGAACAATGGTCAAAAGCCATGGATGAAGGACATCAAGTTGATGTCATTTACTTCGAATTCAGCAAGGCGTTTTGATTGCGTCCCACATAAGCGCCTCGTTCAAAAGTTGTCAGAAGTAGGGATAAGAGGAAATCCTCTGAACTGGATTCCAGATTTCCTAAACGGTTGTAGACAAAAAGTCACTGCGGATGGCTACTGCTCCGAATGGGCATCTGTTAAAAATGGAGTTCCACAGGGGTCAGTTCTTGGGCCACTCCTATTCATTATCTATGTAAATGACCTAGTAAGGGGAACGACATCGGACATAGCGCTCTTTGCAGACGATTTTAAACTTTGGAGAGCGATAAAAAATGAAGATGACGTCAAGATACTACAAGAAGACGTAGAGAATTTGCACGCATGGAGCGGAAAGTGGTGCATGAAATTCAACGTCAAAAATGTGTAGTGATGCACGCGAGGCGAAGAAAAAATGCATCCTCAAAATCAACCCATTAAAATCGTAGATGTGCTAAAATATCTCGGTATATTCATTAAAGACGATCTAAGCGTCATCACGCAGTGTTCTAAAGTCGCAGCGCGAGCAATGTCAGTCATGGGCGCGATACGTAAAACGTTTATTTACTTAAATACAAATGTCTTTGGCAAAGTATATGGGGCATCTGCGCGGCCGCACCTGGAATATGCAGTACAGGCTTGGCGGCTATGGCTTCGGAAGGATATAGATGTCCTTGAAGGTGTACAACAGCGTGCTGCAAAGGCTGTTCATGGCTTCAACATTTTTACGTACGAGCAGAGCCTGACGGCCTTGAAACTCTTTCCCCTCCAGTACAGGCAAGACAGAGACGACCTCATAACAACGTTTCAGTTGTTAAGAGGACTTAAGCTGGATGTCGACTGGGAAACGTTTTTTGCAATGGCACCCAAGTCTTATCTCAGATGACACGATTACCAGCTTAAAAAGGAACTTTGCCACACAAATCAACGTTCCCCTTTTTCTCACAGAGGGTCATTCGCCAGTGGAACTCTTTGCAGGCGTACGTTGTTAATTCCCCTACCTTGAGTGTGTTCAAGAGACAGCTGGATACTCAACTGCTGAAAGGCAACCCGAACTACCGAAGCCTGATCGAGCGGATTACTGAAATGACTATAAATATACTACTAACATGATTTCAACAGATCCTTTTTGTGCGTTAAACCTGACCCGTACGGAAATTTTCAGTCCGAATGCGGTGAGCAACGTTTTTTGCAATTATTTCGCAAATGCCGTACCCTTTTCGCATTTATGTTCCATTATTAGATCTGTGCATTCTGTTTACTAAAACTACATGCAAATGTTTGCAATTTAACTATTTTCCTTTATATTTGTACCGTCTAAATGGAGTTTTTAGGGCTTCTGTCGTTTACTCCGAATATACTGACTGATAAAATTTTGAGAAGACGCAATTTGCTACCAAATAAATATGAGAAAGAATAGTTTTGTGCATGTTTTTTATAAAATACATTTGAATTTATGAGAACATCAAAAATCACTGTGAAAATTATATAAGTAACCATTTTTTACAGAGTGTGGTTTCTGGGAGTGGTAGGAAAGGAGATCATTAAAAAGTCCGCATCCGAACCTACCTGAAACATCATAGGACTATGCTATATGTTAATTAACATTGCAACTCTTCCGAAGTAGTCTTTTTGAATAAGAAACACATTTCAGAATTTAGTTAACATTTCACGAGATTTCACATCTACTATATGACTATATGCTATCCGATACCATTGTCGCTCTGTCGCAGGCGACAATGACCACTACTGTGCCGGTGAGGAGGTGGAAGTGCATGAGGTGAGGGAAACTTGCCCGACATCCGTCGAGAGGACCAGAGATGGGCGTGGACGCACTACTTGACCTGACATCGAGCCCCATTTACGTGTGACATATCCACACAGTTTCACCGTCCTGCGCAAACGCTGCAGTCTAGGGGTCAGTTCATGGGAAAACCGGCTGATTTCGTCAATCTACAGCCTCATAAATCATGGTTTTCAGCATCTCATGGCCGTTTTAAAGTACGGGTGGTTTTCGCATCGGGACGGGCATGTGATTAGTTGCAAATTCAAAACTGGGCTCGTATCACTAGAATAAGTTGACTTCGTCAAAAAGTACAATCTGAAGAACATTGCAAATGTCGAAGGTATGGATCTTGTAGTCGGAAAAGCGTATTCGGTTCATCCGTACGCCGTCGGCGGTTTTCGGATGCAGAATTTAACTTACAGCTCCGCCAAGCAATTGCGCGCTCTGGCGCTACAAATCGCCCGCATATAATGGGTTATACAGTTGGATCCTTTCGTGAGGTTTGTGGAGACCGCGGCTTTTTTATTAAGTACCAGCTCCCGACAAGAGAAATAAATTGGAGCCACTAACAGCAAAAGTTTTGTTGGTGCCAAGGTAGGCCCACATCAGCGTGCTACAAATGGTGCAACTCTACATGTGATGCTTATTAGTCTTGACAGGGGGCGTTAACCGCCCCTGTTAACCCACAGAAAGATAAATTCCTCACAAGGACATGGACAAATTGACTTTCGCATATTGCAGGTCGCTCTGTGCTACATTTCAGAGGTTAGGGTTATTTTTGAGGCTTAGGGCTAGGAGGGCTAGGGTTTGTATTAAAATTAGGCGCGGAAATGTGTACCCTCGAAATTTAGCACAATACCACCTGTAGTAAGGGAGATCCATATTCTTGTGTCCAATCATCTCGACTCCTTCAAATGCTTCGGTCCTATTCGCATAGGCATCTTGGTTTCCCCTTAGTGCGGGACTCAGAGAAGCTTATTAAGACATCCGCAAATGTGTTTGTGTCTGCCTTCTGGAACGAACATATTCCAGTTCCGCCGTGCAAAACACGAAACAAATCAATTTGGTATAGTAGGTTTATGTTATTGTAAAAAGAGTGAACTCACAATCCAAGTTCCGATGTCACCAGTATGCATCCAGCCATACCGGTCGATTAATTCTGCCGTTGCTTCGGGGCACCTGTAATAGCCAACCGTGCCACCAACGCCCTTCCAGCAAACCTAGAAACGAAGAACTGCATTTACAAAAAACGAGCGCTTGTTCCAATAAAAGTACCGGTGTGTAATTCCTTTTCGTATCTATGGCCAGTAGCGGCACCAGATATCGAGGTTGGAATAAAGGGTTTGAAGGTCGAGTGGTCCGCCTTAGTTAGGTAGTCTTGTTATTTATGGTCATTTTTTTAATTGACTAATCACATAAAGCTAAATAATAGGGGCTATATTCTGAGGTCAGGCGCATTAAGCGTATTTTCTAGGAACTAATGTGGAATGCATGGGTGACTACATGATGTGGACTCTCTAGGTTAACCAGTTTTTTGTATTGCAGCATTAAAGTGATTTCCACAGCCAATTCCGAATAAGCTGAGTCCCACCCAGAACAAACGCATACCTCGCCTTTGTTATCTCTTGCAGCGACGAGTCCCATTTCGGGGACATCCATTAACTTCAGAGCGACGGAGGGTATTGGCGTTCCAACATGACCACCATTTAAATCGCCCGCCACCGACACAGTTAAGGCGCCACAAGCCTCAGTACACCCATAGCCTTCAATTACCTAAGAAGAGACAAAAATGACAATTCAGATGCTCAAGAGGCCACCGAAATTGGAGGGAGCTCAACTCTCCCACCTATATTAAATGCATTAGTGGTTCTTGGGACTTTTCAAAGCCAGGTCGGATTGAGCGCACTGGAGGCATGTTACTTTTTTTGGCAGTCACTTATAAGCCACGTGAATGCGAGAAACAGGGCATATAACAAGGCGGCCATGTGATAAGCTGGAGGTATTGACAAGTATACTGCAAATGCAAGCTGTCAAATAAATCAGCGTTTGACAGAGGGCATACCGACAAATCTATAGGGGTTTGAGCTTACCGGACAGTTAAACAGGGCTCTGGTAAACCGTAGAACTGTGGGAGAAATTGCGGCGCTTCCCGTGATTACAACTTTCAGGTTTCCACCGAAGCTCTCACGAATCTTCGTAAATAACAACTTGTCGAATAGCGTCTCATTGTAGTAAATCTGCCTTAAGCAGCAAGGAGAGGGAAAAAGAAGCTCATGAACATAAGCCCAGTTTCATGCATGCGAAATAAAACCCTTCTAAACTTCGACCCACTTATCAAAACCTAGGCTGAAGGCAACAATAATCTATTTGGGTGACGTGAGACTGTCAGTTTTTCAAGGAATCACGATCTGCTTAACTATCGTATTAACAGTCTAAAATATACCTCAAACCTTGGTCTTCCAAAATCGGCTTATATTTTTGGATGAATGGATTTAAATTAAATGCTTCGATTGTTCATACTCCTTTATATGTACTCTGAAAGTTCCTTTCCAAAGAATACAAAGAGATAAGTCCACGTGACAGGACTGAATTGTCTTATGCGCAAATGAATATCGGTCCGATAGGCGAATTTAATCGATCCTTAGTCATGTGAACTACGAAAAGGCAATGAGACTGGCCACTGACTGCCACAATGAGCAGAGAACCCAACAGAGAATGGGAAAACCGGTCAGTGGCAGTTTTACATCAGCAGTGGGAAAGAGGAACTTTAGGTATCTGTGTTAGGATGTGGGTATACCTTGCGATGAAAAAGGCCGCATGGATTTTACACCGTTAAAAGCAGTTTCAGTCCCTTTGCGGGTAGAGTACGTTGGAAGCATTGCAGCACACCATGCTTTAGTGTACGTTTCTGCAGTTATACCTCGGATGAAAAATGTGGTGGTCGTTAAAAATCATTTATAGGGAAATAGCAATCAATTCGGACATCTCATAGGTCCATAGCTCATCGGTTGATTTCTTGACGCAAATTTTGGAGGCCGATTGCTCAGGCCCGTCTCGCTGCAAACCTTTCTTGGTTGTGTCACTTACCTACTTTATAGTTCGTACCAATAACGTTAAACTAGCTTATTGATCCGCTCATCGTTTGTGAGGTGGACCGTTTGCCTTCGAATGATACGCGAAGTCTAACTAGGTGCTGTTAACCCAGGCAGTCTCCGAATTTTTTGAACGAAACAGACACTAATGCTAAACTGTGATAAGAAGGAAACGCATACGCTCGAGAACGTTTTCTGACCTTTACAAGTTGTGGTGGAGAGGGGGTCAGTGCTCGTGCAGGTCACTCAATATTGATCTGCAGCTTAGCTGCCACTATTAGGTTAGGCGGATTAAAGAGATGCGAAAATATCTTACCACCAGGTCACATTTTATGGTTCACTACGTTAACACAGACATGCAGCTAGAAGCTTACGGTTATGACTTATCTGTGTGCAAAAGAACTCTTCTGCGAATACTAATCCGTGATTTACAGCGTGCGATCGCAAGCATGCTTAGCCACAATTGAGCTGCTGTTTCAAAAAGACCAACTCTTAACAGGTAAGGTTTTATAGCTGTAGAGATAACGAATCGAACTTACTTATCCGCAAGTATTAACTGAGAATTAACTGCCCTTTCAAGAGCTGGCTTCTCCCAACCATGCCTGTTTATCTTCAAGAGGACCGTTTCGTAAATGCGACAAAGCAAACGGGGAACCGCGGCAAACAGCGTTGGACGTAAGGCAGCGATGTCCTGCATAAAGGTTGACAGTCCACCCAGCGAGAATCCGATCCTGCCACCGGCGTACAGGAGGAGAAGCTACGGACAATGGAGAGCTTAACTTTGTACCGTTATGGGGATGTAGTGCGTGCAGACATTTCTGCTCTGGTTAAAATCTTAGCAACATGCTTTTGTTGCGAAAACTAGAACAAACTTTCTGATTTCGCTTAGAAGAAAAACGTACTGATACTTTCAAGATGGACGTCACCGAAAATGTTGAAAAAATAAAAGGTCAGAATGGAGAGGAAACCAGCGAGGACATTGGTTTTGAGAACTTTCGCATATTACATGCTAAACCAACCTATAACAGTACGCGGGACGGAATAAGATGCATAACGACAAAAGCGTAATGCTCAGATGACCCCCTCCCCAGACAGTTATACGGCGAGATATGGCTGAACAATTACATATTATCGACGTCTGTACTACCGTTGAAACCCCCCTAGTTGATTACCACCGACATCATCAGTTATATTACTATTAGAGGTAGAATGGGCAGTAGTGAGTAGGAACTTTCTACGTTGATGCTTCCAATTAAAATGATCAAGACCGACAATTCCACAGGATCGGAAATACGGCTATTCCCGCCGGTGGATGGATCAAGAGACATTCCCGATAGGGGCCCGTGGCCCAGTGGTTAGAGGCGTTGGACTTCTAACTAAAAGTTTGCGAGTTCAAGCTCCAGGTGTTCCACACTTCTGGGTTGGGCACGACTGGCTGACGACGGCTAATAAGCCAGAAATGGCCATTCCAGCCTCCCATTTCTTTGGTGGTAATAACAAACTGTCCATATCATGCACCGCTGTGCAACTGTTGGCTGGGCTCGAGAGAGAGAGCTCGTAAGGCACAACGGAACGAGTTTCGTAAGAACGATCGGGGAGCGCCCCCTACCATTACCGATAGTGGTTGGCAGGGAGTAGACTCGTTGCTCAGCTGTCAAAGCGCCAAGTTAAATGCCCAGCTGGCCTGAAATTTAAACTCTAGGACCACAGCATAGCTGGCTGACGAGGAAACGCGTCGAAATTAGCCAGTCGGTACCACTTGTATTTCTTCGGCAGCACATCTCAACTATTGATTTGTAGTACTAGTTCAAATCTCCGAGTCGAACGGATGCAGCGTATTCAGTACTGCAATCAGGCAAGATCGATGAAAGTTACTTGGCCATGATTTTTTTTGGCTTCGGCTAATTTCTACTGCTTACCAACTCGCGTGGCAATCACTGATTGCTCCAGAGTAAAAAAGTCAATTGTAAAATAGTAAGTAGGCAAACTTCATGCATACGCAATCGCAAATATTTACCTCAACTATCTGTTCATATACATGAGCCAGCGGAAGGAAGGCGAGGTGTACCGCATCATCGGTTACCAACTAGGCGGAAGAAGAATAAACGGGTGGCTGACTAGTACAAGTACGTTGTTGTTTGCAAGGGTCTTCTGGACCACTGATCAACATCAGTCCATTTACGCACTCGATAAGATGCTATAAACCAAAAAACGAACCTCTGGTGATTGCTTCACCATTCCAGCGATTGTTCCTAGAATTGCTCGGTTTGTAAGGGTAACGCCTTTTGGCAAACCTAGCAATCCGAAAGATAGAAAAATGCCGGACAAATCTGCCATGTGAGCAACCCTACCAGAAGAAATCAGGCGTAAAACAAAAGAGGAGGTAAAACACCGAAAGGTCGGGGAAATCATGAAGGATTCTGCTGAGGCCCTGTACATGCATGTTAAATTTTGGCCAATGTTACGTTGCAAAAAACGCAAAAAAAGAGACCAGTATCACTGACCAGTAGTTCCGCTCGTGTAGCATATTAAGAGAAGTTCATTCTCGCCAACAGGCTGAAATATGGAAATGACAATAAATTTGAATCCCTAACCAGAATTCTGTTAAAATACTTGGACAGAATGATTATAAGAAGTAGGTAAGTCTTCGAAGAATACATCACGAGACTGTGCTGCCTAAGGTTTATCGTCAGTAAACCTAAACTTGCAAACTGTCCGATAGGCACAGGGCCTCTAATGGAAAATTCAATTTACTAGACATTTATCCATAGTCTTATTTCCTAACGAACTTTGTTAAGGATTTCGAAATTTATATTTTAATCCTCTTATTAAATGTTTGCTGCGAGCAGAATTGGAGAAATGATCGAACTATGTACGGAAAGCGGTAAACTGAAACTTAAATAAGAAGACGTAATGAGAGAGACTGGTACTTGTTTTCAAAGCGCAGGGCGTATTGCTTAAAGCACTCAATCAACCGGGTCTCCTTGGAAGTAAAAGCATACTTTAAAGACAAAAAAACACTTCATCTATTTCAAGAGAACATTAGCATTTTTGTAGAAAATCAGAATGCCTCAGAAAATTTGCCGAATCGCTCATTCTATTGACCACTTTTGCACTATTTTGCAGTATTCCGAAGCTGCAATAAAATTTTCTTTTCTCCATTAGAACCCGGATAAATGGACGTTGTGGCGTTTTTTACTGGTGATGCACTTATCTCAAAATACGCGAAAAAAAACAAACGGCATGTGGTTGTTTACATTTACTAAGACTAATCATACTCCCTTTCTGAATCTTTGCATTTTCTGAATTCTTCTTTATTGGACTAGGTGGAAGTTTACGCACTGCACAGTTCAAAGCGTAAGTTGGCTGCCCACATGGTTTACATAAGGAAGACCACATTAAGTGCGTATCACTGCACTTGCAGCTTCCCTTCTTTTTAAGCCAAGGTTTTACGCAGTTCTCAATTAGAGTTCGACCGTCGCATCCACCATGTGCTCCACAGCAAGTGAAATAGACAAGGTGACATGCGCGTGAATTAGTTTGTAGTAAGTGTAGACTTGCGCAGAATCTTCCCCACTCCCTCCTCCTCCCCACCTGAGCCCGGTGTCAAGACAGAGTAAAGAAGACCGAACGCAGGGAAGGGCGCAGGTTGATGACGCCGCCTAGCCCGCAACATGGCATTCCACTCCACATCGTCTGGTCCACACTACAATTGACCAGGATTTTAACGAATAACAACAACACGATGTGCCAAAGGACGAGGATGACCGGACAGTCATGCGCACGATCTGTATACCCAGCGGGAGCGCATGCGTATCTACTGTCAGCAAACCAGATGTCGCGAACTGCCGGCACATACCAGGCTGCGAGGGCCATGGTTTGCCGATCCTGGCATAGCAGACGCTTACAGACCTTTAGGCGCAGAAGAGTGACACCTGGCTTAGAATTCGCCTGGGTCGTCACCCTTCAAAGACTATATAACCAAACATTCATTGACTGAGAGGCACTACCCACAAAGCACGCATACACCTCACATGCGTGAGAGTGTCACCAACAATTAAAATGGAGCCGTGACGGCCTGGCTCTCAGCCCACCAGTCCGCCACTCTACATAAACACGCACAGCTGGGTAGACTGCGTTAACTCAGTTGGGGCGTCAGCCCTCAGCCGTCCAAACCATGGGCTGTGGCACATCGTAATAGTCTCAGACTCAGACCACACGTGCAGCCGCATGGAGGACCCGAGAAGCACACTTCCTACTTGAGTGGGATGAGGCAATTGGGTGTTTGTGATGGGTGATGGTGTTGGAAAGTGCGTGTGCTGGTGGGGGAAGGCGTAATGCTGTGGTGTGGCCGGCGGTTGTCTAGCACAGGTTTTTGTGAATACGCATGTGTCCCAATAGGCACATGCGGCGAGTGAATGTGCGGAGGCAGTGAGAGCAGTTGGGGCAGATACGGCGGATGTAGATTGATGTTCCAGGTGCTGGCTCGCCATTCACCGTGCGATGGATTCGCAAGTGACCGACCAGGCCGATGAGTGAGGTGGATATGTGATCTCAATGAGGACAGGTATGAACTGAGCCCACATCGCTAAAGGTGGGGGCGTCAGTGGTGCTGGGACATCAGACGTCGTCCGATCGGTGGAAGGAGTGCGTGAAGTTTTGGTGGTGGTGGTAATGCTGGCCACTGCGGGCAATGCAGGGGTTGGGGGCAGGGCGGATGGTATCGATGGTTGGTGGCGGTGGGACAACGACAGTGTGGTCGGCGGTGACGGGGGTGGCAGCCGGCGCGGCGTTTGCGGAGGGAGTGAGAGCGGAACAAGAGGTAGACCTTGTCGAGTTGATGGTGCATTGCGTCCGAAGGTGTCCAACGAGACTGATTCGTGCACGCAAGGCACGTTTGCAGTGCGGTCATGCGGGAAGCGGCGGATGGTTGACATTGAGGAGGCAAGGCATTTATGAATTGCGAGTCTCTCGTCTGGCTTTGGCGGCAGCGATCCGGGTTGCTTCGTAGATGGCAGCGCCGGACTTCTCTTCTCTAGGCCGGTCTGTTCTTGGAGAGGTCCTCCCAGGTCTCTGCGCTAATATGCAATCGCTTAAGATAATTATCCCATGTGTCCTTGTGGCGTCGTCGTGGGCTTCCCGGTAGGTGAGCACTGGTGGCGACATCATCATGGAAGAGTTGTTTCGGTAGAAATGTATCTCCCATCCTCACGAGATGGTAGCTCCAACGTAGTTGCAATTGCCTCAACATGGTGTGAATGCTAAAGATGCCGGTCCGTTCTACGACTTCTGTGTCGAGGATCCTGTCTTTCCACCTCAGCTTTAGTATTCTGCGAAGGTAGCTGAGATGGAAGTGGTCGAGTTTCTTGGTATGACTAGAGTAGACGGTCCAAGTCCCCGCTCCGTAGAGGAGTGTCGTCAGGACGACGTCCTCGTACATCTTCAGTTTGGTATTCACTTGACAACCAAGGAGATTCCAAACGGAGTTGTACAACTGGCCGAAGGCTTGGCTGACTTTGGAGATTCGGTGGGTGACCTCATTGTCGATTCTCGTGCTGTTGGAAAGTGGGCTTCCGAGATAAGCAAAACTGTTCACGGTTTTGAGTTTGTGGTCGTCGACAGTGACTCGAGGAGGAGTGCAGTGTTGCATGTTGAGTGACGGTTAGTGCATGACCACAGTTTTGTCCGTGTTGATAGTCAGGCGGAAATTGGCGCACCCGGCGGAGAGGAGGTCCATACTCCGTTGCATGTTCACTTCAGTCGTAGTGTTGAGCGCGCGGTCGTCGGCGAAGAGAAGATCGTAGACCGTGGTCGTAGATAGCCACGTTTGGCCATGCATACGTCTGTTGCTGAGAAGATGCCCGTCAGTTCTGTTGGCGATGCGTATCCCGGGGCGCTCATCACGGTGGACGTCCATCAGCATGGCAGAAAACATGAGATTGAAGAGGGTAGGTGAGAGGACGCAGCCCTGTTTCACTCCGTTTGTCACTGCGAATGCCTCGGAGGTGGCACTGTCGTCCGTGAGACGCGCCATCATCCCGTCGTGGAGCTGATGTATCATGTGCGTTAATCTTTCAGAACAGCCGAATTTCTATATGATTTTCCAGTCCCCAGCAGCTCTCAATTAGTGGCCATAAAAGTATGTATTGATAAGGACCAGGGCTTCTGGGACCTAGAAAGCAAACACTACAGTGTTTTATTTACAATGTCTACTGCGGTTTCCCCGTCTCTCCACTATTACGTGGCTGGCAGCTTTTTACATACCTCCTCCCTCCTCTCAAAAAATGTAATAAAGCCAAGATCTAGTCCTTTTTGTAAACTGCGTCCCAAACCTTTTAGGTCACAAATTAAATGCTAAATATCATGTCAACGTCAGGTCCGAATATGGAGATCGATAACGGATACGTCACGGGCGATAATTTCGAGCACGCTTGTTAACATTTCATCGGATAATAATCTAATGCATATGTTCCACGCCGTTATGTAAGTGAAAGGAGACCTCCTATGAGATAGGTTTCTGAAGCACAGAGGAGCAAACATTGAGGAAACTTGTACCGTTTTCCCAGAGTATATAAAAACGAACGGAGCTTGGGTGATAACGTTAGCTAACTGCCTTTTGTTATCCAGTCCAGTTCAGTGAATTTAAGGGAAATAGGCTTACGCTTTTGAACGTTGTATTTTTTAAACTTAAACCTCGCTTTTTAGTGAATAAAATACACTTAAAATATAACATTACATCAGAACCACTTACGCAAGGCTTCTGGTGGTTCTTTTCTCCCCTTCCCTATAGGACAAAAGAAAGTTCTGAATAAATTTGAGTTCGGATTGCTTGCATTCACATGAAAAGAATGTGAGCAGACCATTCATTCGACCTCTGCAAATAGTTCTCAATACTATGGAGAAAATTATGGACATAGGCAACAGATTATAAGCCCTTAATTCAGACGGGAATTGCAGGCAAACTGCAGCTTGCATAGACATTTCATGTTGAAAATGGTTGCTTTATACCCTACTTTAATTATGAGGAGGGAGATTATATATTTGTCTATAAAAAGAAATAACATACGGTGTACCATAAAGTCATAGAAATCACAGATTTGCAGGTCATCTTCAGCTTCAATTCGTAACTCCGATAACTTTCCTTCCGGGCGAATTATTAAGACAAGTTTGAGGCAATCCAGTTTGTGCCTAAGAGTCAGCAGTTTTCTGACCTTTACGGGAGTATCACAGACGATGACGGAAAGTTCAGCTAAAAGAATTGAAGTTGATTTGATGAGATAGTTCTGTGACTTAATACAAAGCCTCATGCTGTATGGAAAACATATAAATATATCCTTATAACTTTTGCTTTGGCTAGTAGTGAAGAAGACCACGTTCTCGGAAAAACTAACGGGAACACAATGCGGAGCTGTTACCTTGTTTGCATATGTGTTGAATAGCCTCGTCTCCGAGAGTATCGTAGAGTGGAACCGCCACCAGTCCGTACGACCAACAACTTAATTCTGAAATAGTCCACTATAACGGAAAAAGATGATCAGTAACCTAGTACACCTGCAATTCCGATTTGAAAAGCAAACTACTATTCTGTTTAATGCTATGAAAAGAAAGCCCAACTCGCACTATTTTGAAAATGCTGCAGACGAGGCCTCAGATGATAAGAAGGAATGATTCTTAAAAATTTCTGCCATAAAATATATCGGTCCGCAGAAATGCAGGACAGAATAGAGAAAAGTCTAACAACGGGGGAAACATATTGCAATACTCACCATAGATAGACATGGCCCACTTGTCTATCCAGCTTCTACTTGCGCACTTTGTTTCAATAAAATAAAATGGTACTTGAACATGTTGCGGACGTAGCACGTAGTACTCGAGTGCAGAAGACCAAATGCAGCAAAGTACCGTTTGACAAGTGAACATTAGAAATTTTAAACAGTTTTTTTCTACCAAGACTAACATACCTCTGGACAGTTAGCAGCATAAATGCCGACGCAAGCAGGCGTCCTCGTTACAAGTTCGTCCACTTGGCGAAGTGCAGAGCCCAGACTGAGGATCATTGCGTAGACCTATGAAAACAGTAAAAAGGGCAGTATTCCTGCGCCCAGACGTCACCTGTTCAAAAATGAGGGAACAGAGCCAGATGATTATGTGTTATGGGATCTATAATGTTCAGGTAGGTTTTATTGGTTAAATACGAAATAAGTCCGCAGCAGGCATTGTTGTTCTCAGTACACAGTTTTTTCAGAGCCTTATTTAAAATCGATCGCCCCGAACTCAAGTGGAAATTTACACTCTCAGGTACGCGTACCTGGAAACATGGAATTTTACACACGAATTGACATTTTGGAAAAAGTGTAAAATCTCGAGCATACCTGTCGATAGGAGATCCATTCGAAGGATCCGTTCAAACTTGTTCGATATCCCAAGCACTGTTTCTCACCTGAAATGAGCGACGTCCCAGTTGACAGAGTATGAGGTCAACTTTGCAGAAAGTTACTAGATCATAGGCTAAATACATACCATGTTCCTGTACTTTCGAAAATAGCAGATCATGGAAACACCGATAATCATCCAGACTTGTCACAAGTTCACCATCCCCGATAACCTTAGACGTGCGTATTCCATCCTTTATGAAAACAAAATACGGTATGCAGGATCAAATTCAAAACGAACATGTTAGAAAAGTGCGGTACTAATTGCTGATCCGTTTTTTGCTCAAAGGAACAGGTTGCAATACGAGAAAGATTAGTTAAGCATAAAGCTCACATCTCCGCTGACAACATGAGCGGTATTGTCCACGAGTAGGTAGCGGCGGCTGTATTGCATTCTCTGTAGAAAAGAATATTGCCGTTATTATTTGACACTTTTGATGTTTGTCGAAGGAAATTTGAAGTAAAAATAGGAAAGTAATCCTAGAGAACGCTTTACTGTTTCCCTCTTCTGTTCATTTTTTCGGTCCTGTATGTATTCTACCGCCCCGACACGGGTAGATAGGGCTAATAATTAAAGAATGGACAGACTGTACTTCATGTGTCAGGCAGGACTATAATACGAAATAGTCGACGAGAATGAGCTAATATAGGCTAACCATCACCAATCTGATAGTAGAAGTTTCCGAAACGTCAATATAAATACAGTGTGGTCCACAAACTCGGTCCCCCTCTTCTTCGTCTTCTTCAGGGGTTGATGAACACGACATACGAGATCGTTTTTTGAAATGGGGGTTTCCAACAAAACAAGCAACTTCTCAGCTAGTCGACAGTGACTTCTCAGATCAACTGTGCCTACTTTAGTGGAACGGTTAATTCTTTAACGCAATAACTCTTTCGTAGTTGGGTAAAGAGGGGCTGGAGGTCTGTGCGTTGCAAGGAATCTTGCGCGATTTTCGTGGCTTTTCTTCTGTTGGGTCAGGAACTTTATATACGTATAATGTTGGAGCGGGTTACGGGGCATGGTCGCCCCGTAGTGTTTTGGGGCTCAGCATAAGGCCCTCGCAGGCAGTCGCACAGCGACGAGACTAGGGCTCCTTCGTTCGATAACAAAGCGTTTGATTTAACAACGCTCGATGGCAGAAGAACGTATGCTAGAAGCCTACGTCCTGTGAACCTGGGTCTGGATAAGGCTGACTGACGACAACTAATAAGCCAGAAAAGGGCATCCAAATTCCCCTTATCTTCGTCGGTACGCTTCTTCTATGTATAAATATAGTTGGCAGTCAGTTTCCTGTTCATGACCTTTGCCACCCCTAAGAAGTTTATTTCGGAAAGTCAATAGATCGGTGTGCGCCCATTCCTGGCTTAACAAACAATCGATCTTCAACGCAACAGAATGACAGGTGGCGAGACACTGATGAACTTCGGTTCGGTGAAGTGCCTCTGATCCTTCTGCTAGACACAGCGTCTGTGTACAATCTGTGTAGTGTACGAGCACATGTTTGTTTTTCTGGTTCCGGCAGGTGGTCAGGGTTATGGTTGGCTAAGTAATAGTATAATAAGCCCGAAAGAGTCATGCATCAATCTGTCCGCATTTTCTGTCATCGGTACCTTCTGACATATACATATATATGCAGGAATTGAACAAACAGGTATATATAGGCAGAATAACACTACCGACAAAAGCAGGGGAGATTGGATGGCCATTTCTGGTGTATTGGCCGTCGTCAGCCAGGCATACCCAACCCCGAAATGTGGAACAGCTGGGACTTGATCTCGCGACCTATCGGTTAGAAGTCCAACGCCTCTAACTACTGAGCCACAGGCTCCTCGTTTTGTCAGTTGCGGTCGGGAATATACAATACTGGAGGGGCGCTCACCGATCGTGTTACGGAATTCAATTGCCCGTTGTACGGCTGCTGGTTGGGCTCGAGAAAAAGCCCTAAGACACAACGGGACAAGTGATTTTCGTAACACGATCGGTGAACGCCGCTTACTGACGTAAACACCCAATGAATATTGATTTTTCAGCACCTTTGAAATTTTAATTGTTTTTGCACGTTTACACAAGTCTGACGACGGCGTGGGGAACAAGTGTCGAAAATTTACCTAATAAGGTTTTCTACTGTTTCCTAAAGAACGTGTTTGCCTAAATATATATTTATAGATATATATATATCCTACGGAAACATCGGTGAAAAGCGTGCGCGGGCATTTAGATACTACCTACAGTAAAATCACCATCGCATGAAAATTGTATAACTCGCAGTCCTACTTATTTGTAGAAAGGGCATTACGTGGTTACTGCACGTTAGTTGATTGACTTATGCCCACATGTCAAATGAAAATTCAGGCCTTATCCCAAAAAAGTAACGCTTCAGACGTTTAACTACAAAAAGCAAAGAGGCGAGTCAGAGGAAGTGGCCGCGGAGAAAGAGACACGATCGCTGAAATAAGCACTTTATTTGCCTGACATTTCGGATTCTCACTCGAATCCATCATCAGAGACAGAGTCCGATAAGGGTGGTAAATTGTCCAGGTGTTGCAGTATTTATAGGATGAAGTTTCTAGGTCGCTACATGCCTATCGCAGTTGGCAGCTCCCGAGTGTGTTTTGGCTCGACTGGCCAGGTTTTTAAGTATGTAGTTGCCGTACAGTTGCTATGCGCCCGCATGACAAGCTTACGACGCACAGATGAGTTGCTGACGTTCGGATTTCGTCATCCGTGTGGACTCTTGGACAAATTGGTTCGCCGATATTGACACCAGGAACAGTGGTCATCCGCACGCTGTCCTCACGGCCAATTACTTTGCCTTGACGAAGCCTCAGCGCAGAATATGGAGAGCGGAGGTCGTTGCGCTTGTTCATTGATTGAGAACCGGAAAACCATGACTTGAGTTTTTCGCGGCTCACGCGGCTGTCACCTCTAGCAAGAATTTCTGCTTCGTCAAACTTTAGTGTGTGCTTGGGTCCCGTCGAGTGAGCCGCTGTTTAGGAGCTGGCGTCTTTCCTCCTCACTAGTGCTGCGTGCTTGGCCATCCGCGTCAACAGTAGTCTTCCGGTTTCTCCGTCATAGTTGCTTCGCCTACAGCTGCGCCAGACACGATAAACGACTCCACATGTTTCTTGCTGTGGCAATGGGTCTTTCGTCCTCATGATCTGGCGCCTCATGGTTGCCCCCGGTCTGGGTGCTACTCCAATTCCAAAGGGTGTGAGAAGGCGGCTGGAGGTTTCTGATACATTCTTCACGTACATGAGAGCTCACCAAAACTCGAGGCGAGAGACAGCCTCGCCGCTGTAAGGCTGCTGGCGGGGATCGGGATTGATCTCCAAGATACAGCGCGGGAAATCTATGTCCCGTAACGAGATTGGCGAGGGCACCCTACCACTACTCTGATGATGGAATCGAGGAAGATTCCGAAAGGTCAGCACCAATACAGTGTGGTCCATGGCATCGCCTCTTTTTCTTCTTCGTGTTCTTTTGGGGATGATGAACGGGATCAGTCTGCGTCTGACGACGACCTGGGGAACCGGCGTCGAAAATTCACGCAATAAAGTTCCTTTTCCCAAAGAACGCCTCTGCCTTCAACTTATATTTCTTGGGATGCCTACCTTCCAATACGTACGTATGAATTACGAGCGCAAAGTTTTGCTTGAAGCCAGACGGTGGGAGAAATGTGCAATTCGCGAAAGTCTAACGCGAGAACAGTTATCATTCCTACACAGATGCCGAAGCTGGAAAATTTTGCCAAAATCCCTGCGTGTGAAACCGGCCATACGATCTACCCTGGGGTATCAAATTGCCTTTCGTTACGGAAAAAGCATGCTTGATGCGTTCATAACTGATGCCCATTATCGACTCCGAAAATTCCAAGTTTCTAAGGAGCAGAACATGCAGTTTTGCCGAAACCAGCTTCCATTTGACTTGTTTGAATCTCTGAACGAAACCATCACGTGTGTCTCACAACTCGAACGACAAAAGAAGAGGAGTATTTTAGACAAAAAGTGGACGACCATTTCTCACAAAACTGATGCAAGCCAGAAGTGCCCAGCGAAGGTCGTAAACCTGTCCTCGAGAATTCTGACATAATCGGAAGAGAATGTGCTTTCTAAAGGGATGAAATGCAATCTCTCTGAATCAAATTACTTGGACTTCCTCGCAAACTTGGAATCCATCATAGCAACGGCAGAGCTCACAGAAGACGAAAGATTTACAATCCGAAACACGACTGTAAACGCCCTGAAAGACCGAAAGCAGTTTACAGTACTATCACGTGAAGAACAGAAAGCATTAAGAGCCCTGAGAAATGATAAAAATATTATCGTTCTCCCAGCTAACAAAGGTGGCTCCGTTGCGATTTTGAACAAAGCAGATTATAATGCAAAGATGCTATCATTGTTGGAAGATGGATTAACTTATAAACCACTTCCCGCGGATCCTACCAAAGCACAGATCTCTTCTATTGATAAAGTGTTGAAGCGCCTCACCGGGAAAAAACAACTGTCGGGAGAAATCGCTAAATACCTGAAGCAAACTGAACCCACCATTGCTAGGATCTATGGACTACCCAAAGTCCACAAAGCTGAGGTGCCTTTACGACCGATAGTATCGTTGATCGGGACACCTAACTACAAAATTGCAAAATGGCTCTTCCACAAACTTCATCCACTCACCAGGAATTGTGAAACGTCGATTGAGAACTCTACAGAGTTTCTAAAGAAATTAAAAGGAATCACAGTTTCCCCCGACGAGATAATGGTCTCCTTTGATGTCGTCTCCCTCTTCACGTCCATACCGTTGGATTTGGCAAAACAATGCACAGAGGATCTCCTGAAGTCCTGCGACACGGATGTTCCCGCTATTGCCTTACTCGAACTCTTAGACCTGTGTATGGAAACCAATTTTTCGTTCGACCAACAGTACTTCCAACAACTGAAAGGAGCCCCAATGGGGTCACCTATCTCTGGCTTTCTCGCCGAGATCACAATGCAGAAACTGGAGGCCACGGCTCTTCCGTTAGTTAACCCTAAATTGTGGCTGCGATACGTGGACGACACATTTGTGATCGTTAAAAAGGATCAACTAGAAACGCTCCACAACATCATTAACTCAACAATGCCGGGGATTAAATTCACACTCTAGAAAGAAGTTGACAAAGAACTCCCATTTTTGGATGTTCTCGTGCAGCGGAAGACCGACGGGACATTGCGCACATCGGTGTACCGCAAAGAAACCTATGCGGAAATCATTCTACACTACGAGAGCAACCACCCCATTTCCCACAAACGGAGTACGGTCAACTGTCTGCTTAATCGGGCAAACACACACTGCTCGGACGAAGAAGGCTACCAAGCCGAACTAAGTTACTTGTGTGAATTATTTTCCCGAAATGGGTACCCCAAGGATTTTGTGCGCCGATGCATGAGACAGAAAGAGTCAAAGGAAAGGGAACAAAGAACCTCCAGTCAGACACCGAAGCCAAATACATGGCGAACTCTCCCTTACATCAAAAACGTGTCTGAACTTGTGGAAAGGCACCTAAAGAGACACCAGATTCGGGTGGCACACAGACCGACGACTACACTACGTACTCAGATAGTACACCCTAAGGAAGGGTCGACTATTTGGATAGAAAGGAAGTCGTCTACAAGATCCCATGTGAGGCCTGTGATGCAGTTTATTGTGGTCAAACAGGAGAATCCGCCTCTACACGCATTCACGAACACCAACTTGCAGTAAAGAGGCGAGACCACCTGTCTCAAGTAGCCATGCATAGCTTGGACACCGGGCATACGTTTGCTTGGGACAGAACACGGATTGTCGGTGCCTGCCCCTTCAAGAAAGGCCGAGAGTTCCTTGAGGCCATGCACTCGGATGAATCGTGCATCAACCGTCACATCGAGTTGGACGCCGCGTACAAAAGTCTCAAGGAGAAATGGAAGAGACGAGAGCCAATCGGGACGGAATGACGCAAATAGCGGCCGCTCACGTGCGCAAACGCGAACGATTATCGATTTTTTCATGTGCACTGCCAGATGTTAACTGTTTTCGGCACATTTACTTTCAGTCTGCGTCTGACGACGACCTGGGGAACCGGCGTCGAAAATTCACGCAATAAAGTTCCTTTTCCCAAAGAACGCCTCTGCCTTCAACATATATATATCTATATGAGATGGAGCCGACAAAGACAAGGGAGACCGGAATGGCCATTTCTGGCTTATTAGCCGTCATCAGCCAGTCATACCCAACCCCAAGTGTGGATCACTTGAGATTCGAACCCGGGATCTTTGGTCATGGAGTTTGACGCCCTACCATTGAACCGACAGGACAACGGACAACGTAGTACTACTTGTTTGTAGAATGGGCATTACGTGGTTATTCCACAGTAGTTGATTGTCTTCGACTCAAATGTTCATAGAAATTTCGGTTCTGACCCTAAGAAGTCATGTCCCGGAGATTTAACTCCAAGTTCTGCACTGATTAATTTCTGAAATTATTCACCTGATTATTCTCTGGAGTTCATATACCGGAAACCGCTAGAGAACGTTCGGGGTCCCACTGAAGAGCCGAACCCCTCGCAGCTGTGTCACGCAGCGGCAGAATATCGGCGAAACACGTGTCTGGGCTTTTAGCAAGTATCTAGGTCGGGAGTACGGTATACTACCATATATATATATACATATGAAAAAGGAAGAGGTTCTTCGGAAAAAATCGAGTTGTACTCGTGAATTTTCGAATTGGTGACACCAACCCGTCGTCAGACGAAATGAAGAGAAAAGAGAGAGTGAGACAGTCACGCTAGACTAATAGACGAGACAGGACAAACATTGGTGGACGAACCATTAGCGTGTGAGGAGGGATGCGGGTAGGGAGTCATGCTGGGTTCTGAGCCGGGA